CTGTGCCACAGAGAACCTCGTGAGAAACCCACCCTAATCGCAGCTCACCCCTAATGCAGTAGGTGTTGCACCTTGGCATTAAAGCTTCCCCAGATCCTACAGTTCTGCCAACACCTCAGTGCGGGCCAGGAGGGCAGCACCGCCACATCTCAGCCCCTGAGGGTCCCCGTGCGGTTCTAAAAGAGCTGCACAAGAAGTGTTTCTGCAGCGAGCGCCCGCGTCTGCTCCGGCAGTGCCAACAGGTGACAGCACCTGTTATTGACACCGATGTCACTGCACTGATGCTCAGCATGGAAAGGGAACATTTCGCCGCCCAGACGAACACGCACACACGGCGGTCGTTCCCACAAGAACGACTTCTCCTCTTTGGGAAGCGAGCCACACAGAGTGACAGCCCCGCAATCCCGACGACAGACCGGGAGCAAGGGCACTATAACCTGCTTGTCCTGGCGTGAATCCCGGTTCCCCGACTGATCTGCCGGGGAGTGAAAGCTCCGAGGCTCAGACCCAGCCCGGTTATCTCACTCGAGACGCCTCTCCGGCAGAGCAGCCCCGCACGACCCCGGCACCATCCCGCCCCTGCCCGCGGAGCCGGCTGGCCGCGGCCCCGACAGCCCGCGGTGACCGGGGCGACGGCGCTCGAGGGGAGGGCGGGGAGCTCCGAGCAGGAAACACCGCACGGGCACCGCCGCCCCGCGCTGCCTTCGGGCCCCGGGGTCCCAAAAGGCCGGGCCAACCCGGGCGCACCGCGGCGCCGCCGCCGCCCCGGCGGAGAAAGGGGCGCCTCCAAGCAGCCTCCTCGCTCCGCGCCTCAGGCACGACTTCACTCGCCCCCTCCCTCCCCCCGGCGGGGGCCACTCACCATATTACTCCCCGCAGCGGAAGAGACGGCGCCATGCGAGGCCGGAAGGGGCGGGGATGGCTCCCGTCGCCGCGGCAACCAGCGGGCCCGGCCGGACACGTGGCGGAAGCGCCGCCCGCCGGGAGCCCTTGGAGGCTCCGTCCCGCTGTCCCGGGGGAAGCGCGGCCGAACCCGCCCTCCCTGCCTCCCTCCGCAGGCAGAGGTGGCGACCCACGCACGTCCCATGGGAGATGCGGGTCGTATACGCCGCCGCCGCACCGCATTGCTGCGGCTTATCTGCCTGCGAGAATCCGAGGAAAGGGCTCAGAGGGGTGATCATGATCACAGAGTAAATTGGATTGGAAAGAGATAATCGAGTCCAACCTGTAGCCGAACATGGCCGTGTCGACTAGGGCACTAGGTGCCACGTCCAGTCTTTCCTTAAATACCTTCAGGGACACCTCCATCTGTTCCAGTGTCTAATCACCCTTTCAGTGAAGAAATTCTTCCTAAGGTCCAACCTGAACTTCTCCTGGCGCTGCTTGAGACTGTCCTCTCGTCGTGTCCCTAGTTGCCTGAGGGAAGATGCCGGCTCCCACCTCGCTACAACTCCTTTCAGGTAGTTGCAGAGAGCGATAAGATCCCCCTTAGCCTCCTTTCTTCTAGACTAAACAACCCCAGCTCCCCCATCTGCTTCTCGTAGGACCTCTGCTCCACACCCTTTCCCAGCCTCGTTGCTCTTCTCTGGACATGCTCCAACATCTCAGTACTCTACCTAAATTAAGGGGCCCAGAACGGAACACAATACTCAAGCTGTGGCCTCACCAGCGCCGAGTACAGGGGGACGATCACTGCCCTGGTCCTGCTGGACACGCTATGGACGATACAAGCCAGGATGCCCTTGGCCTTCTTGGCCACCAGGGCACACTGCTGGCTCGTGTTCAGCCAGTCAACCAGCACGCCCAGGTCCTTTTCCCCTCGGCTGCTTTCCAGCCACTCCTCCCCCAGCCTGTAGTGCTGCATGGGGTATTTGTAAGCCAAGTGCGAGACCCGGCTCTTTGCCTTACTGAACCTCATACAAGTATCTTGTGTGCTGCCCCACCACATTTCTGCGGTTTATCTGCCACCGCCTGCGAGAACACAAGGTCAGGTCTCTAACGTGGTGGTGATGTTTCTCCACTGCAGCAACTCTACAAGGAAGGGTTTTCTCCCCAGTACAAAAATACACCTGAAGTCACACCAGCATCACTGCAGCCAGCACTCGCTCTTCTGCTGTACTCGGAATTAATGGCAGTCAGTACACAGCTTTCAGAAGGGATTTTTTTTCCCCAGCAAAACCCCCAAAGGACAGTAGCTCTCCAAACTACAGAAACTCTGTTGAAAATCTAGTCACTTTGTTGTGTGCTAAAATTCTGAGAACTGCTCGTGTTGTCCTGAATATGTTAAAACCATTAGAAGCATTACAATCCAGATGAGGAATCTACATCCCAAAGTCTATTGCAGTCTGAAGCAAAAAACAAACTTTGAAAGAGGATTCTGCTAGTGACTATTGCTACCGAGGCTCTGGAACACAGGGACATGAGGGCTGCAAGGTAACAGCCATCCCCTCCTGTGGGCTGACCAGCATACTGCTTAACTACACCCCATTCACTAGAACAAAATACAGAAGTCACCTTCGAAGTTTAGATAGCTCTCTTAAGGAAAACTGTGTTGCAAAACACCTGCATGGGATGTAATGAACCAAAAGATTTAGTCATAAGACAGCTTATTTATTATTGCATTTGCAAAACAATTAGCAAAGAGGTAGGAACAAAAATTGAAGCAAGCTATTTTTGTTCTTTCAACAGTCTATTCAGTTGACTAGTGCTCATAGTTAAAGTGGTTAAAAATGTTATTTGCATCCCATCTGTTCTGTAAAACATACCAGAAGACTTACCTGCCTGTGGGTGAGAGAGAGGCCTGTACATCAATTGAAACCAGGAACAAGCCATGATCTTTAATCTGCTTCCCAGCCACTCTGGATAAACTTTAATTGTGCATTGTCTCCTGTTCCTGTGCATTTGCAAAGCATTATGATTTAATTACTGATAAAAAAAAAAAAATTATTTTCCAGAGCGTTATCTGGTCCTTACACGGCACAGGATCATTAATTAAGAACAACTATCAGACTGGATCAGTAATTGTATTCCATGAAATATATATTTAATGTCCCAGACCTCATTCTAAGCTGTGGGCTGTAATCAATAATTTTTTTCCAGTGTCCAGTAGTTTGGTAACATTTTCAGAAAATAGCTTTGCACTCTATAGAATCTGCATGACAGGTAAGAGAATTCAAATTGCAGCTGCTGCCTCCATTCAGATTTAACCAGGCAACCAGAACTTACGTGAACCACTAGTGTCACATTTTATCTTGTATGATTTGCTCCACAAATACAAAGTTGTTTGGTTACTTCATTACTGACATACTACCAGGCTCTTTGATTATTTCATGCCTTAGGGTATTCCCAGAAGAGGCCAACAGTTAGTTATTAGAAACTTCACTTGTAGAAGTGTCTTCTCAGAAGACAAATACTACAACTAACAGCACAGCTAACAGTAGCATTCTGCATGTAACAAAACTAACAGTTTTCAAGGATGTCTTACAACTGAGGCAATTTTTAGGCCTTTTAGAAATTGTTAAAAGGAGATTTGAAAATAACAAAAGTTACAGTATTAAAAAGAATATATTGTTTTTAAAGTATATACTAGCCAAAAAAAGTGAAATCTTCAAAAGCATTTGCTAAAAACACCACTTTGCTTATTAGGTTGTTTGTAGGCTGATATTCTGAAAAACACCTTTTATTTATAGCTACATCGCAGCACCTGGAATAAAGCACATGTTGATAGGTTGGTTTTGGTTAAATTGTATTTTTCTGCCTTCACCACTACATAGTATTTTCTATATTATCGTTACACACAGAATAAAAAATTACTCAGAGACTAAGTTGCATAACTCTGTCTTTTCTAGAGCCATATGAACCCTTGTAGGAAACAAGCTGCATTTCACAAGTTCACCAAGTATTTGGAAATTTGCAGAAAGATGCCATGAGTCAAAAAACAAAAAACCCCAAACAAAAGCCAACAACTTTAAACTTATGTTTTTCTCATTTTTCTCTGGCAAACTTAGAGCACTAAAATACAGAAATAAACAGGTTTTCATCTGAGATATGCCTGCATCTGACACTAGGCATGCAGCCTTGTCTCCCCACCTTGGCTGGCATGGGAAAGATTTAATGAGTCCAAGATACTTCAGTCCATGGTATGTTGCCAAGCAAAATCTCTGTAGATTTCAACACAGCAAGTGGTAGGATATTTTTTCAGGCTCTGGCATCTTCACTAGTTTACTTGAGCATCTCCTCAGAATAAAAGTCTGTTTTACCTCCAAGAAGTTGCATTTCAGCCAAAAAGAGATGCTGGATAATTACCCTGCATAGATGTCTTTCTATCCCAAGGAATTAATCCCTAACAGAAGCAGAAATAGCTCACTTGGTTCAGTCCAAAACATTGAGGTTTTTTCCTCATTGCTGTATTCATTTTTATTTGGCTTGCTTGTTTTAGCAGCGATTAATAAAATGATGTGTGGAAGGCAGTGGTCATGGCTGCTTTCTGAGAGCCCCCTAATGCTGCAAGATACGTAATATTAAAATTACCCTAAAAAAAGTTTAATCTTACCTTTGGGATGTAAAAATGCAATGCCCCAGCAGTTCCTGCTAATCCAGACACAGCCTCAAGACTGTGGAATTACAAGCAGTAAGGACATGGGGGTAAGTGTAGAATTTAGATTGATAACTCAAAATTACAGCCCTCTCACCCAAGCAAAAGAAAAGCTGTCATTTTGGAGCCAAGTAAATTGGCTCCAAATTTCTCAGGACTTCACCATGACCACTAGAATCAGTTCTGTGAAACCACCTGGTTTTCACTATGATCTAGGCAAGACTAGGATAAGCACACACTTTCAAGTTCAGCACATTTATTTAGGAAGTAGCACTTCTGTTTACATTAGTTTTAAGAACTTGAGTTATGTCCTTTAGAAACTGATTTATTTACACATTTATTGTTCCATCATCTGGTATACAACAGCTGATTTTTTAAATTATTTTGTTTTAAACCAGCAGCAATGTAATGGGCTTCAGGTTTAATGAAAAGGCTCTTAGTTTTGGACATTTTATCTGAAAAACAGACAAGAAAACAGGAAGAACAGGACAAATGCAACATTTTATTGTGGAGCTAAAGCTATGTGACTGCTCATCATGCTTTTTTACACTGCTTATTAGTAAAATGGTGTTTAACATTTCAGAAAACATTCTTAAAAGAACAATGAAATAAAAGTGCTTCAAAACAAAAAAATACAAATATTAACCCCATCCCAGACTGGAGTCGTCCAATATACTTAGTACGGGTGGGGTATGCTGTTTTGTCTCCACCTTTGGTTTTTGTCACTTTAATACATATTTCTGAAAAATACTGACTAGCCCTTCACATGAGTAAAAATTTCAATCATGTGGTACAAACAGTTTCTGTGTTTCCAGTCCCTTTGACAGGTGTGTGCGACTGTTGGATAAAGTACTTTCTTCCCCGCTTCTAATCGTAAAAAAAAAAACAACCCTGCCCGACCCGAGAGGCTACACTCCTGGTGTCTCTGAGAACATGCCTGTATTAACCAACTATAAAGAACACTGACCTTGTATCCTCAAAGCTGCTCTGAAGAAAGGCTTTTAAGAAGTGCATCTCATGAAGGCAAGGAAAGTCTTGCAGCAAAACAAGGTTGATCACCATAGTTTCCAGAAATAATGTCAAACATTTGCAAATCAAAAGATCAGACTCTGAAGAAGTGTTTAGCCAATATTTTGAATCCACTGGAGGAGTGTATATCTTGCCAATTATTGCCAAACTCAGGAGGTAGTTATTGATAAGGTAAGAAGTTTCCACTCTAAGACAGTTAACAAAGGAAAAACAAAATACAAATTTCCCCATATTTTACAAGATGAATTTGTATTTTCAGGAAGTGACAGCTTAACTTCCTCATCCTGAGGAACTATTGTTACAACATTTAAAAGAAAAAATATTGAAAATTATAATAAAAGGAAAGAGATTCTAGAAGAAAATAACTCAATTGTTCATCTCTTAGGATGTCTGCAGATCATCCTAAACATGAAAATACACATAAGTCAGTAAGACAACATTCTTCAACGCTAAACAGCAGCTCGAGAGAAACTAATAATGTACTGCCTGTAATTAGCACAATGACTGAGATAACTACTTGCATTCACTACCTGCTTGCTACTATTCATTCCATTTTTGATATCTGGTAGAAGTCCCCAACAACTAAAAAAAAACATCACAAAAGCTTGAGGCTGCCACAGACAATGGATGAAAAAATCTGTTCAAGATGCAGCAGTGCTGGACACCTCCCAAAGCTGCCACATGCAGAAGCATCACCAAAGCGCTGGAGTAGATGGAGATGCAGGTCTTAGGCACAGCTATGCATTATCCGTGTCTTGGCGTAGGAAAGCACTGTGAAAAATCTAGGGCGTGAAGTCTCACCATAGGTGATTGAGGAAACCCTAAGGAGAATGCTGCTTTCCAGTTGCAGAACAGATGTCTCAGTTAAATTTGCCAGCATATCTGAATTCAATTTTCCCAGTAAAAAGTACTTAAATTTCACAAGATGGACTTGACGGCAACACCAAGCAATTTATTCTAAACTCATTTGTTTAAGACTGAAAAAATACTATTTATTCTACACCAGAAGGTAAGGTTGAGTTATACGTATAAAAACTGTCATTTTAAAAGCATTTGAGAGAATCTAACAGCGAAACCAGGAATGGTCTCTAATTAGTGCAGTGACAACACTACTTCCCAGTTTAGAGATCCCATTCTTCTCCATTTTAAAGTATTACTATCACATTTATTATGTACTTAAAGTAAGTTGCAGGGCAGTATTCAACAGAACCGCATTAGCAACTTACTGTCCAAAGTAGAGTCAGTAAAATGTCTCAGGGACAGAATGCCTATTTCTAATACACTAAACCCTGTAAAGTCTAAGAAACTAACAGGACGGAGAGACTTATTTGTGCATAAATACCCTAATTTAACATTCTGTGTTGGTTTTGTCTTAACCACAAGGAAAGAACCTCCCTAGGTTTGGTGTAGTCTACAGAAAAGTCAACATTAGTAAAAGGGACATCGTAACACACAACAAATTCTCATTTTAAGGAGAAAGAGCATTCTACAGTGCTTGAGTTTTTCCCTCCTGTTATGCCAATACAAGTAACAACCTGCAGTCTGAGGAGATATTGTTCTTCCAAGATGTAGAAAGACAAAAGGTGCTGCTCTTCCTTAATTAAAGCAGGAACCTGTTTAATAGAAGCAGAAAGATATATAAAGTTGCTAAAAAACACAGGGGGCTTGGATTGGTTGTTGTTTGTTTTTTTTTTTCTCCCTCCAGTAACTGCTACACTCAGGGTCAGTAAAACGCAGTTGCAGAAAGGCAGACAAGCTGCTTCCTCATCATCTCAAAAAAGTGGGTCAAGTCACTCACTCATTAGCAGTGGGCAGATTGACCCAAGAAAAAAACAGAAAAGAAAAAAAGGAAGAGACAGTTTAGAGAGCCAGTGTAATAGCAGTCTTTGCAAAGGTTAAAAGCACTCAAGCTGCTGTCCTGTGTATCCAAATTCAAGATACTGTATTAGGACATAACTTGATTTTATGAAAAATATAGTTGCAAAGTTCTATATATGTACTACAGACTTGGGAAATACAGGTAATCTGAAGCTTGTGGGGGTTTTTTGAGGGGAAGAGGTATTAGGTGGGGTTTTTTTGTTGGTTGTTTTACTCAGATCTGCTCTTATATACAGTTAATCCAATGCAAAGACAAAATCACTGAGATGGGACATGTAAAATGAGAAAGAAGACGCAAGATAACGCCTTAAGAGGAACAGAATTATTCTTAAAAGACACTATTCAGGAAATAGCATAAGACAAGGCATTTAAATGAGATTTATGAACTAAACAGCACTTGGTTATGGGCTAAGAATCCAGCAGCTGTGGAGCAAACTGATGTTGCAGAACTTTTGTTCTTTTTACTGTTTTCCATCACTAATTTATAGAGCTGTACTTTACCCATTGAGCAGAAAACAATCAGGTCATAATAGACAAACAAAGTAGTGCACAGATTCTCTTGTCCTGTACTGGTTGCACAAAGCAGTGAAAGGGCTGGTCCCTTTTCTTTCTGAAGTAGCAGCTTGTGATTCTGACCCTTGGTGCTGTGTACTGGTGCTACTTCAGCAGATGAGATCTTCTACCTCAACATTTCAGGTACCCATCCCATGCCAGTAAGTATGTATTTGAAATAAATAACCAGTATATCCCTCAAAATTAAGAAGATGAAAACAAGAGGTTTGTAACAATCGTTTAGGAACACTCAAAACCAAAGTTACCCTCAAAGTTCTCACTTGCAAAGGATCTCAAGGAAAGGTTACAAAAGCTTTAGGAACAGAACCACCAAGGGTCTTTCTTAGCTGTAGCTATTTGGCAGATGCTAATACAACATAAGAGTTATGCTTAGCTCTATATGGATTCAGTCAGCCAGGAATCTCCAAGAACAAAGATAGCCTACTGAAGGCAGAACTAAGGCAAAGCAAGACATGAGATTTAAGAATCTGAAATCTTTTAGCATTTCTCAATTCTCCAGAAAAGTGAATCAGGGGAACAGAAGTCACGTGTTTCATTCATATCAGACATACATTTGAGAGAGTCCTGTTCTTAGAAGGCTAGAAGTGGTTTGGTTAGACTATTTCAAAAGGCCTACTAGTGTAACACAATCTTCGCTTATATGATTGCCTTTAACCTTAAGATCAGTTAAAAGCATCTCTGGTTAAAAAAAACCCCAAAACCAGAATCCCAAACATATTGCATCTGTGCATCTCAGAAGTTTGACGGTTTCTGCTTACTTAGTACTCAATACTACACAGTGAGCACAGACTCCTCTACTAATACTGCATCTATCAGCTAGGGGGTTTTTTCATATATACATATAATATATTATTTATAGTCAACTTTTAGGTGAACAGTTCCAAAAAATAAGTTAAATGAAAAATTAAAAACAAATTTTGTTAAGACCAAAAGCAAAGAACACTTATAACTCATTTTAATTAAAACAACAGTAAACAATATGCATTTTTTAACATCACTAAGTTGGGAGAGTTGTAAAAAAAAACCAAAACCAACCAACCAAAAAGCAACCCACAAACCTGCTTTAACAAGGAACTAGTGTTCTGCCTTGCAAATATCTGTGTTTAATCCATGCAGAATTTGTAAACAAGATGTTGGGCCTTCAGAAATAAAGGCAAAGATGCTTTCCTTTATTACAGTATTTAAATGCTATCACTTAAAGAGTTTGTTTTTTTAATAGCTTGTCATTTATATAATAAAAACAAGTATTTGTACAAAGATGCAGTTTCTTTTTAAAAAAGCAGATCAGTTGAGTGTTTCATACTTTAATATATAAACCTAAACATATGAAAGCTATAAAAACATTAATGAGTGCCATGTATTAAACACGTAGCCTCGTATTTTAATGCTTACATGTGAAGATTAAAAAAATTATCACAATGGAAATTTTACTTTCAATTATCATAAACAGACCAAAATACAGAGTAGAAACACATTATTTCTGAAATTTGACAATTAGCATCACTTAACTCTCTCAAACATCAGCTGGGCTCAAAGTTGTACACCATAAGCAAAAGCTAACATTCTATCAAGGGAAGCATTACAAAATGCATCAAGAGAAAATACTGCCAGTAAATTAATATCTTAGTCTATTCTTTTATTTAGTTTTTTTTCTTTAAAGACAGTTTGAATTGGTTTTAAAGGGTTGGGTGGTTTTGCTGCTCTGCTATCAAAGGTCTTCTTTAAAACTGTTCTGTGAACAATACAGTCACATTACAATGAAACAAAAAGACAAATAATAACAGACCAGCTGCTTTTTACATTTTAATAATCATAATTCCCCAATGCTGTTCTTTCTCTCTGCACAGGGAAATTGTTTTATTTGGCACATTAAGGATAAAAAAAGTCAAAAACTGAACCAAAGTTTACAAACCTCCAATTGAACATCATTGTTCCATGTTAATTGTTCACCAAGGTCATGGTAAAATTAAAAACAAAAAACCACACACACAACATAGGGAAAAGGTCTGATGATCAACATCATCAGAGCCTTGCAGCTGAAACCATATACATATATTATTGTTCAAACCATAATCAGATTGCTAGGAATCTTATCTCGAGTCCTATTGTGCTCTTACTTACAGTGTGTAAATCCTCACTAAATGGCAAGGAGGCTTCGATGAACACATTTCACATCGTATAATTTTTTCTTAATCTCAAGTTTCAATGCAGATACTTAAATATCTGTAAAGTCCTGTAAACTCTGGTTGCTTTCCAGTAGTCTGCACCAACTGCTCCCCAGGCAGCACTTTGTTTCATTTCAAGTAGTGTTTCACACTGTGGTATCTCCAAAGTCCTTGTTCCAGCGAATATACGCTTCCAGGGTCTGAGGGCTCAAACTGCGCTTTATCTTCTTCAAAGACTCAGTGAAATCTGACAGTTTGATATTTCTCATCTAAACAGAAAGACATCAGGATCATTAAAAGTCTATGTACTTTGGTTTGTTCAAGAAGTACTTTAGTACTCACTTCTAACAAAGCATCTTGACATAAGACAGAGATTTTTTCAGTGAGAAGAGTCATTCACTGAACAGCCTCCCCAGGGATGTGGCAGAGTCCCCATTGCTGGAGGTTTTGAAGATGTGACTGGACAGGGTGCTAAATAATCTCATCAAGGTTCTCTTTTCCACAAAAAGTTGGACCAGAAGGTCTTTAAAGGTCCCTTCCAGCCTGGGGTGTTCTATGATTCTATGACCTGGTGCAAGATCTTGAAATTTAAGACTACCAGTATTTACCATTTTTAATAAACTAATCCTGGGTAATAGTAACATCTATCTTGTTATTTAATAGCTCATGAGACTGTGATATTACTTCCTGTCTCACTAGGTGGTATGAGCTGGTACATATGACGGCAGCACAATAAATTATCACAGATGTTGTCAAGTTCTTGCAACAAATCCTTTCAGCTTATCACAGCCTTAGCTGTGACCTCAAGCCAAACACAAAAAGCAACTGAGAAATTAAGTTTTGTTGCATTTTCCCCTGCTTAATTGTGCTTTACGAACACACTTGAACAGAAACTTTAGTACACAGGACCAACCTCTAGCTTTTCTTTTGATGTTTACAGATGGTGATAAGTTTAATTATTTTTCTTTATGATGTTCACATTCCATGTGAATGAATATAAGTATCATATATATATATATATACACACAAATCTGTTTTAAAATCTCTCACTCTCCTTAAGTTAACCTACTTTATGTAAATAGGGGGTGGAGTGGGAAGAAATAATTTTACGTTAGTACTTCTGAAAATGTTCTGGGGGAGTAACACTGTGAGAAAATAAAAGCCAGGCCTCTGACAGCATCTGACAGGAAGCAGACACCGCAGTTCAGTGTGAAGGAAAAGACAGGACAGTCAGCTGAAATGAAGATCAATAGAGACTTACTATCAGAAAGAGAGATGATCTTAAGCCTGATAACCAACAAACGACAAAGATGTCCTCAGACATCTGAGGACAGATCTTGTATTCAATCACTATTTCTGCAGAATTTTCTTTAATGAAGAAGTGATCAAAAAATTATAATACCCCCCAAAATTATCCTAGGTATTTTGTATGATACTATGTGTTAAAAAAAAAAAAAAAAAAGGGGACCTTGAAAGTTTCTAGTGAGCATAAATTTTATTCAAAGGTGAAAACAACTGCTGGGACAGCTTACCTCACTGGCAGACATGTTCTTCACCTGTTCTGGTTTTAATTCTGTAAAAATAAAAGATCAGTGAGTTTCATAAGAACAACTTTCAACACTTCTGACAAATAAAAAATGATAAAAATACTTTTAATCTGGAAAAAAGCCCTTTCTGCCTCAACACAGTCTCCTGTACAGAAAGGTATATGGTGTTTTAGCCTCCTTCTTCCCCATTTATCAGTTCCTCAACCAGGCTGCTCCCCCACTCGGGCACTGCAGATACACTATAAAGTGGTAGCAGAATTACTCCTTCTTCCTTAAGTATGGAAAACAGCACATGAGCTGACAGAGCTACCTTCCCCTGTATCTTTCCTGGTATCCACAACTGCCCTACTCCCTACTAAGTTTCAGGAAACAGTCAGCCAAGAACACAGAAATAAAATCAGGCAGGGCATATTGGAGTGCTTCTTGCTTATAGGATCTGCTTATAGTGCTGCCTTATAGGATCTAATCCTTCCCATATCCTTCACCATTTCACCTTTTTTTTTTTTTTTTTTTTCCTTTACTTGCAATGCTGTTGTGGTGTCAACGTATTACAGCAAACATTTTGCTCTGAGGGTGCAAGAAAAGTAATCTAGGCAGGACTGGCAAGGCTGACATTGAAAAACATTTTAAAAAATAAATTGTTTTATATGGAAGCCAGGAGCAGGTGGAAGAACGACGTAGCACATTTCGTGGTCTCTTCTTGAAATGGACTTGCGTGTGAAGTGAGTTGTCAGCAAAGTAAAGCCTGCATACCTAAATGCATACATTATTAATTCCACCACTCTAAATAAATATATTCAAATTCTTAGGAGACACGATGTCTCTTATGAGAGCCATTTAATGCAATTCTGTTTCCCCAGTTATTATGCAGGATTTCGGAAGATGTACCCTACAACCTCAATAGCTGAAAGAAAATGCATAGAAAACATTACTTTCCAACAGCTGCTTTCAAAAAGATAGTGCACTGGCAAAACTGCATGCTATAGGGTTTTTTACTAAATAAAAAAAAATAAGAAAACAAACACACCCACAAAACATGGACGGACCTCTCCTCCCCATCTATCGTTTAACAGGGTTGCAACAATACGATATTACAGAACTGGTACTACAGAACCCTCCTGCTCTGCCTGCCTGCAGCACATTTCTGTCGGGTAGGATGATATGTCTGCAAACAGAAAGCTAGTATCAAATCTTCACAATCTTTTTTTCACAAAAATCCCACTACTGATCTCCACTAAACAAAATCAGCTCATTCAGATGTGGCAACTGGACATAATAACCAGCTAGTGGAACAGAGAGAACAAGGAGAGGGAATGTTGGAAAAAACTATCTGATTAAAACTGTGTTTTTTCAAAGTTGGAAATGTAAGATGAAGAACAAATATTTAAAACTCTATTTATGTCTCAACTGTCATCTGGATCACAATTCAACATTAAGAAGATTGAAAAATAAAAGCAGCTATGCCATTCAAATCATATGTAAAAAAAAACCACATAAAATTTGTTTCAGTTTTCCTTCCTTTAAAGTTGAAAGAGATTTTCCCCCTTAAGACAAGTAATGGAATCAGAGACTGCTATTCAAGTAATAATTTAGATAAAACAGAACTGACACCAACCTCGGAAAGACATACTAGTTAAAAGTCCCACAAAGCTTCAAGAAACACTTCACCCTGCTTTCCTCCTGAGAGACAAGAATGGTCTGTTTCACATGGTGCTGAAGGGTTTTGTGTAAGGGAAGTCTTATAAAGATGCTATTACGAAAACCAGACTAAAACCCAATGTGAAAAGTTTAATTTCAGAGCTTTAAGAATTATAAAGATGTAAGAAAATATCTCTAGTGTCAAGGCAATAAGCTTATTCAAAACCTAAATAAAAATCTATACAGCTTACCTCGAATGGGGCCCAGGGCTGCATCCTTTGCTAATGCAGTTAGGTCACTTCCAGAGTACCCATCTGTCATTCTTTGTTAAAGCAAAAAGTGAGGGAAAGGAGGAGGGGAAGAAGAAAAAAATAAAAACCTGCTTTAAACCATATAATTGCAGATAATTGAAATGTTACTTAATGAGAAGAACTATTACTTTGATGTTATTTTGCAAGTTTAATAAATCCGAAGTGAATTTAAATTAAATGATCTATATTGAAGTCTTTCCCAGATTAAACTACTTCAAGTCCCAAATAACATTCTAGAAAAACCAAAAAGGTAGCAACCAGCTTGGGTTTGTAGATGAAAACTAATCTCAAGCACATTTACTATTTCTGTTATGAGAACTCCCTACCACTAGTTTATCAACATTTGTCAAATTAATGTAAAACCAAGCCTCAACTGTTCTGTACTCTTTCAACCTGACCAGTAAAATGAGAGAACCCAATACCACACATTACATATGATATGATATGAACTGAAAGGAAGATAAATTCTGATATCTACTGGGGTTTGATTTTTTGTTTTTATTATAAAATTGGCAGTCATACAAATCATCCAAATCTGCAGAACTACAAAGTAGGGGGTAAAAATAATCAATCCAAGGAGCCAATCTCTGTGGGAGCTTTCCAAGAATTGTATTTAATATCCAAGTTAACCAATGAAATATTTTGCAGAATAAAGGTCTCCACTGAACTAGGAAGCCACCAATGCATAATGTCAGCATAAATGAAAAGTAGTAGTACAGGTTACCTAAAGGAAAATCTGAAAACAAAAAAAATCCCAAACCTTGTAGAGCAGTGGCTAGCTGCAGCAACAAGAGTTTAGTATTATGGAGATCACTAAGTCCATTACAGATTACAGAAAAAGTTGCAGAGGAGAAAAGGAACACAAAATCATGAAGGAGGTAAATACCTATTTTCAAAACAAAGAAAGATGGAAAACAAAGCAGGCAGGACCCTAATCTTTTATATTTTCTCTAAACCCTTTTAAAAAAAAAAAGGTGTACATGAGCTGCATTTGTCATCTGGTTCATAAATTTCCAGTTAAAATACAAGACACTGTCTTTTTCCTCCAGTTAGCTATTATTGCAGCCTAAGTGTGGCCTGAGCTAGGAACCTTCAAGTACAGAGAGAATATGTTCAGTTGGATTACACATCAACTTTTGTAACATTACTAAGAGGCTGCCAAATGCTACATACAAGACTGTACTCATGTCCTGTGTACTACCACAAACAGGAACAATGACTGAAGTACATCCACTTGCTATCTCACACTCTGTTTCAGTTCTTCCTTGCCCTAGGTGCTCCACCTGCTTTTTAGTCTAACTTCTTTCATACCCATTATTAGATTTAGGTGACTAAAAGCAGCAGTGTCAATCTTCATGATGAAAAACATAAACCAACCCAGCTTCATAACAGGAAGGGCATTAAACTCATGTTTTCACAATCAAGTATGAAAGTTAAAAGAATCTAAAACTATCCAGTGCTCGCTCTGCTATGTTGATAATACATTCAACAAACCTAGCAATGGACCAGCAAAGAAAAGTTGCTTCTGGTTTGAAATGCATGCCAAGTGCAAAATTGGTACTGCCTCTTTGCATCAGGGAGGAGAGCTGGACTGCCTGGGGGACGGGTGGAGAAACAGCCCCCTCCCTCCCTCCTCCTCGAAGGAAACCACTCATGAGCATGTTTCAACACCAGAAACCTGACTGGGTGTGTGCGTATACATACATTTATATATATATGCACTTTCATACAGCCTGACAGGAAACCATCTTGCCAAAATGCATGCAATTCATGTTGTCACTTGTCTGATTATTTACATTAGTTACATCTTGAATTAAAGAAACAGTCTGATGAATATATTTATTCAGTCTACCTACAAAATACTTACCTAGCTAGTTGAGCCAACTCTTTTTGGGTCAGTGGACTTCCTTGCTTACTTAGAAGATTTTTTAGTAAAATCAATCTTGTCTAAAAGAAGATACAATTATCAGATGTAAAACTCATTTTCACGGTACACTTAAAATTGTGTTGCAAGAACAAAAATTACGTGTTTGTCAGTTTGGCTTTTGTGCTTCACCGGTTTAAACTTGCCTATGGTGCTTTTGTGATTGGACTGTACACTATCATCTCTTCAGGAGGAGAGACAGGGACTGGATAATAACAATATCAAGGGTCTAACTACTCCAAGAATAATACATAAGAACCCTCATCAAAAGTCCTGATCTGCTGTTGAGGTGAAAAACATTAAAAAAGTTACTTAAATCTTTTGCAATAAACACTCTTCTCCAGACAATCAACTATGCTCCTTCAAGTCCCATTTCAGACTTGTCCATGCCTGCCAGTAAGTAAGCAATGCCTCACTAACCAAGACATACTGAGTAGCTACCACCAGATTTGCTACTAGCATCAGTTAAAAAACAAAAAAGCAAAACCTTAAAATAGTTGCCAGAATTAAAGCACAGTGTACATGGTCAAGCTGGGCCAGAAATTAATTAAAAAAACCTATAATCACCCACGAGGGCAAGCTAAGAATTGCTTACAGTCTTTTTTTTAATTAAAATTTATCTGAAAATGAAGAATAGGAATGGAAAACAATACTTACTTCTTCATTTGGTAAAGACACATATACCCGTTTGGTAAATCGTCTGGAAAAAAAAAAAAA